AGGAGTTAAGGCTTAATTTGAAATGTAACTTAAAGTGCAATAGTACAAACCAGTCCATTTATAATGCTAGTTTGTGTGAAGCGGAGGGAGTCATCGGTCTTACTCCTAAACCACCATGTGCGCTCGTAGCTTGCGGCAACACTATCCTTTCAAACTGGGGTGCGAATGCTATCGCCATAAAGCAACAGTTTTCATCTATCCACTTCCACCCAGTAGATAATCTTTCCCATCACCTTGACAATCTATGTTTAACGAAAGACTTCAAGGCGACTGTATCCCTTAGTTATACACAACCTGAGGTTAATCTTGAATATCTCTCCTCAATTCCTACCAATTGTTCTGAAATCACAATTAAGGCCACCTATAAGCCGTGCCCATTAATAGTAGGCCTAGGGGATTGCACTAAACAGTACAAAGACATAAAATTGCTGATTAGTTGGGACAATCTTCAACAGCAGAGCCGTATCTCTAATGATAAATTCCATGTCCACACTATTATGGCCTCAGACAACGCTTACCTTTATCTAGAAAGCTTTTCTTGGTATGAACCACCAAACGACATTGAGTATCGTATCTTTGCTGACAAAATTGTTATTCCGGCAGATCCTATTTTTCCTTGTGGATTTTCTGGATCCTCTATCTATGATCACATAAAAGATACTTGTGCTAAATCTGATGTATCAGTTGAAACAGCCGAGATCTGCTATAAAAAGGGCCGAGAGGACTTTTCTAAGACTCTAAACCTACTTTGTATGCTTGGTGCCTTGCCTAGATCAGCAATATCGTCCCATTCTGGTAATGTCTGTTGTGGTAATAGACTTAAAAATACCGAATATATAACGATTAAGAAGCCCGTTAATATTAAGCTTGTAAATTGGGATAGGTTTTGTGATAGTGATAAGCCAAGAAAAGGTCTGTTTTTTTGCCAGCATATACACTACACCGAGATCAATATTGTTGGGGGCGATCGAGTGTGGGCTGGTTATTATCGTTTTATCACTATCATTCTAGATCTATTCCGAGATATTACTGTCAAAAAGCTTACAATCAAAAATGTTCGTGAGGACCGCGAGATCGATAAGTCCTGCCTGTCTAAATTGGCCAAGCGCAAAGAACGCCGATACAATATGAAAGTTAATGTTTTGATACTGGATAATGTTGATGATTTTGTTGTTCATTTGGTCTTGGGGCGTTATAACTTTGTTAAACCGGTAAAAATGCATATACTGAATTTGGACCACAATAGCCGTGTTATTGATCAACTTCTCTCTCATCCGAAAGCCCGAAATATTTCGAAACTTGTGTTGGGTGACGGTAGTAAGACACATAGTTGTTGTGGCCTAGGGTGGCTACGTACCATTTTCAGCCGGTGTACTTCTACCAAGACATAGTCGGACCGGACGCTCGCAGGATTCATTGAATAAAGTATCAATGTTGGTTATGATGTGTACAAACCTAAGTTTCCGTGCTATAACATCAAATTAGTATCTTCTCTACAAATGTATTTCGCATTGTATTTATAGTTTGGAATTGCCGTACTAATCTCAGGGGTTTCACCTTTGATTGATCTCTTGTTCCTGGAACTGCTGATGAAGAATAAAGATGTGCTGACTTATGCTTATCTTCTTGAAACATACTGTAATGTAACTAACCTAATCCTAACACGTGTTCACAAGCAAAAAATGGTGGTGGATACTCTGGACAACACAGCTAGTAAGTAGCTTGCCAATGAGCATATGAGTATTGGGCTAGATTAGGTTAAAAACAATACTAACCCAATTCGGTTTTTAGTTGAGTATGTTTGGTTGAACGGTTCTATTCCATCTCCAGACACAACATCAGTCAATGAAGAAAGGTCTTTGCGATGATGAAACATTACCCAATACTAACCCAAACTGCCATATAAGAATATCCCAACAAATAAGGAACTACAATAACCCAATACTAACTCAATACTAACCCAATAATAAACAACGGATGCCCATAATAAATCATCTTTACTCCTTTTATTCGATCTGTCTCAGAACGTCAGATTTCAGGACCAAACAGTCTTTGGATAGACTTGATGAGATATTAAAGGAGGTAGCAGTGATTTGATTAAAAAGCATTTGGCGCTCGGCAGTTGGTGGTGCTAAATGGCTTGGTTGGTCTTAGTCCTTCTTAAGATGGCAACATTCGTGTGTTAGCACACATCCAAACCAAAGCTGCCTAATGCAAGCTGGTATTGACAGGCTGGTTTGATAGAGGCCGGCGGCGGAATAGTCTCAACGGTTTATACGATGTTCTTGCTGGTTGGATGTCTGCGCCTAGATCACGGACGGTTTAGTGCATTTATAAGAGTGCCGGTTTCCTTGGCTCGTATATATGTCCCTGTGTGTAACAATACGCCTGGCAGTCCGATGTAACAGGTAATAAGCACTATATCGCACACAATAGCAACCACAGTAAGAGTAACCCAAGACAAGTGCTTGAAGGTATTCTTGCCGAAGACTCGAGCAAAACATCCTGGTGTGTCATGTTGTTCTCTCTTTCTGTTATAAAACAGCATCAGCCCAACAACTAATACTGACCAATACAAGTTCAATAGTAACAACCCAGTCAAAAGACTTAGATCATTTGCCAGTGTGTATCTCCAAAACGTTGCGACAAATAACCAAGCGAAAGTAACAATAATACTGATTGAAAGATTAATGACATGCGCGACAATTGCCTTGACGATACTGCGTGCACTCTTCCCACATGTGAAATTAGCCGTGTATACCGCCGTAATCAGCAAACAAGCACTTACCCAAGCCAGTGTAATACTATCGATACAAAGGTTTAGTTCCTGTTTGGTCATAATAAACTTAGGTTTGCGAATGAAAAGGTCTATTACCTTGCCGAGTGTACTGTGTAAGCTATAATATTCATCCGCAATGCCCCTTAAGTATCTTCCTACAAAAAACGCGACTACGATTCCATTCAATGCTGTTATGTATATCAGATATTCTATCCTGTGCATTTGTTTGTATATTGTTGTAAGTAGCGCGTTACAAAATGGGCGTTGGGTTTTCCGTTCAAGAGGTTGTCCCTCTGCAGCTATTGGTGAGCGCGGTTGAGGAGATTTCAGTCTAGAATTAGACTTTAGTTGGGTATGCCAAGCTCCTGGGCTCGTTGAGGATAGTTTTTGGCTAGCGTTGTCCTTGTTAGGTGAAGATCCATTATTCATTTCTACTATCTCTAAATTACCTAGCATTTTTAATTTTGAAATGAGGCTATTTAAAATCTAAGCTCGTATCAAAAAGTCATTTTGTCATGTTGACGTGTTAAATCAAAATACTTATTGTGGTGTCCGTGCCATCCCCCAGGCATCTTAATGAGGCTCTCGATATATATCTACTTTTAAACGCGTTGACTGCAGGGACAATGAACTTAGATGTTTATTCCTTACTACTTTAGATAAGCCAATACATTCCAAAAGAAATCTCAATCTTGTTATCACTAGTTTCAGAATATAAATATACGACGAAGATTGAGAAAGGACTTTCTAAAACTCTCTATGGCATACATGAAGGACTTACAAAAGACTGTACCAGATCTAGAAACTGCTCAGAATCGTATACCAACACAATTAGCCAGACTAACCCAATTCTTCTTGTGCCAGTAGTTACAATGCCAAGAAGTAGCAGATAATCAATAGATGCACTTTTATTGTCTGGAACCATTTAAGCTCTGATTTCATAAGAGATTGCATGTGAATATATCTCGTCCCAGCCACAGAAACTTAAAGGATATATGGGGGTCTTTATACGCTATTAAGGCTATCTGTCATGCTAATGTTTGATAATGTGCGCACTATAGTTAAATTGCTATTTATGATTAAAACAGTCCTCTTTCTCCTTGTTACAGCCAGATTACAACTCCGATGGTCTAGTCACTCCATCTGTGAATAACTTAGCTGGCTATTCGAGATCAAAATAATAAGAAGACGGCGCTAATAAAGTAGTTACAGTACGATAACAATCTTCATCTTTATTTTGCCCAATCTCAGACTAAAGGGCTTTATGCTTATCGCGTATGTTCAAATGTTGTAAGATGTTATGGGTCTTCAGATTGTAAATATGCAAGCATACTCAATTGTCTTTAGTCTAAGCACAGTTGAAGTTATCTAGACAATCGGAAGAGATTGTTTTCTCCATCCTACATAGACTGGATTTGGTCCTTTGTCAATAGATAGCACCACAAGTATTTGGTTGTTTTTGTTATTTTGTTACTATAAAAGGAAAAATAATGCCATTATGGTTTCAAAATAAAAGCCAAGTCTTATTTTTTGAACTTGGTTTGAGTTATCATCTTCTTTTTAGTTTTAAGCCATTATGATCTGAATTGGTTGAGATTTAACAACAAAGCTGGATTGGAGCACAACCACACTATCTAGCATGCCCATTGAACTTATTATGTGTTATCAACAGAAGCATAGCCGGTTTAAGAAATAACGGAAAACAAATTACCTAATAAGGAAATTTCTCGTTTATAAGTAGGCCAGCGCATAAATAAGACGAGCAGTTTGAATAGCAGGTCATATAAAACAACCGAACCAACAAGGCAATTAACTCTATTCCCAAACATTCCCTGGGCAAACCAATCAACTCTAAAGCAAAGCCCTTAACAGCAAACAAGTAAATAAACATCAAGATCTAAACCGACATGATAATCTTAAATTCATCTTTATTCAGAGATCTATTTCACACTAAACTAGCTGAGAACAACTAAGCACTTATTAACATCAAATTGGTCAGAGCATCGAACTAGTTTAAACAGCTGGGGATGAACGGCAAGAATATCTTCTAGTTCAAATAGGGCAAGACTAGGGATCGTTTTAAGTAACTGGCCCACGGTCGAAGAACCTTTGTGGATAAGATGTTTGTACACTTGCAAAGCACCCGATAGATCTAAATCATCCGACCGGATACTTTTGAACACATTATCAAGACAAAAAGTCTGGGCATACTCCAGCCCGTCTTTCAGACTGCGCTTATATTCAGCATGCATGGAAATAGTGGCCACACATATATTATTGGAAACAATTATAGTCGAAGGCAGAGTGACCACACTCATTTCGCTTAAGCTCAGAATGATACACTCCAAAAGAAAGTAATCAAACTGGTAGAAGTTTTGAAGAAGCACTATCTCTTTGGTCTTCATTAGAGTCTCTTTAATCTCAGCAAAGGCCATAATAATATCTTGGCTGGTATAATTTTGACCATAGATGGTGAGATATGGGGTCTGTTTAGCTAAATACTTCAAGTTTAGAGCCGGAGGCAGAGGATAAGTCTTCTTGCGGCCTTCTGTTTTCCGCAAGATATCAAGTAATTCTTCCTTCGCGCTCTGGCTAATATCAGCACGACGAATAACATCCACAGCCAGGCCGTAAAACACTCGCTTACTCTCTTGCGGCAGCCAGGAAGCCTGTTCCTTTCGCTTTTCAACCAGATCAACCATCTGCTGATAAAGTACCTGTCTTTTATCTTCAGCCAAGTACTCCACAGAAGATACACTCGTCTCTGGATACGTAGTAGCTAGCACCCGATAAATCTGGCCTTCACTATCAACCCGTTGCAAACAACCCGCCTCCTCCATTTCTGTTACGGCCAGCAAGAAGGTGCGCAGGTATGTTTTAGAAGTAAAGTGCTTCTGTAAGGTCGAAGGAGCAATCGCTCGAAAGTCTCTAAATGTAGCCGTACTCCAGGCTTTAGCAATAGGCGGACAAAGATTGGTGATCTTAGCAACTATTTGTGGCTCATAGATAGGCACAGCCTTAATAAACACACCTAAAGGTAAATCATCAAGGCTGCGAAAGTCTTTAATAATAGTCACTTGATGATCCATCCAGTGCTTTAACAGGCAGGAGTACCTTTCAGCCTTGTTCAATAAATAACCATTTGAGGCAGCTACGTACTTAGCGTTGTAGGCCTTGAACAGTAAGGCTTTGAAATAAACCTTGGCGGCGGTTAGATCGGTTGAAGCCGATTCATGGGCGGGTCGTTCTTTTTCTACATCTGAATCTTTGATATCATAATCAACTACTCCGGTTGGAGTTACTAGCGAGAACTTGCGGTATCCTTCTTTAGTGATGGCTTCAATGACTTCTGGGGCCGTACTGGGAATTTCAATGGACTTAAGAACATTGCGTGTAATGCGCTTGGACGAGTAAGTGATGTAAACCTGGACTAAATCTATCCTTTTAGAGGCACAAGCTGTTTTTGTGACTGTGTTCTTATCAACCATATGTTTAGTGCCTAGTGCTTCAGATAGGGCCTGGTGAAAGTGTTTGTTGTACATCATAACGCGGTGTTTAGTCACTAGCTGTTCAATCACGCCCTTCCTAATTTCTACATCAACTACTTCGTTCTGGGGAGTGATAGTGGTTTGCAGACGGGCCAGGAAGGCTTTCTTATGGTCTTCATGGATCTTTTTGAGCTTGTACCAGTTACGACGGACTTTACCTTCAAAACCAGTCACATAAATAACCTTGTCACTATTCCACTCCATGATTTTCTTTAACACGTGCAGCGCCGGTTTATTGTCCATTCCCAGGGCTTCCTTGATATCCTGGGCACAAACTCCTTTCTCAGTTGCTTCCATCATGCGCCAGACCTGCGTATATATTGGGACGTTCTTAAGATAGTTTTTAGGACATATATACTCTTTCTCCTCTTCTTTTGTCTCTACCTCCTTATCTATGATTTTGATTGTTTCTTTTGATTTTTCAATCAGTCCCACTAAACATAACTTCTTGATAAAGTAAAAGAAAGATTTAGCGCCAATCTTTAGTCGTAAGCGCAATTCGCCACTAGAACACTCATATCCTGGTGATTGTAGCAGCTCATGGAAGATAAAGTAGTATTCGGGACAGCTAAACTTAAACCGGCCCCGTGTCACATAGGACATAAACTCATGGTTTGTGGCGCGTAGATAAGCCCCGGGCTCGTAATATCCGATTTTAACGAATTCCTCTGGGTTTTGGGTCTCTTTGACTCTTTTAACTGACTTTCCCGTTACAATCTCTGTTTTTTCTGATTGCCGGTACATTTCCTTATCTTTCTTTGTTAAATCTTCTATCTTAACTCCGTAGAATCCTTGTTTGCAGAGGTAGTCAGTCGCTTCCATCAAGTTCGATTCTGAAAGATTTTGCAAATTCTCTATTTGTTTCTTACCCAATATGGTCATTGATTGGCACTTGGAATAGATATGGGGATGTTTTTTGGTTCAGATAGGCCGAGTTGGAGTTGGTGGTGTATTTGGTTGGTGTTTGATAGTGTTTCTTGCTTGGTTTAAGTAAAGTTGTTATTTGGTGGTCTTTTTGGATTGATAGCTAGATTGGGAAGAAGAAAGGAGAGTAGTTGGGAGTTGTGAATAAAGAGTTGTGTTCATTGATATTATCATGATTTTCAAAAATAACAGAACTTTATTCATTACTACACTTCGGCGGTAGAGATTATTCATGCTACATTCTGCTTGTAGGTGATGCTCGTACATAAACAGTTTTGACTATTTCGTTGCAGTCATCGCCGCAATCTTCGGGTTTCTCAGGGAGTGGTATTGGCTGGGGGTGTCGGAATCCAGGGAAAGTATGCACGGGCGGGCAGTTATGGCCCTGGGTTTGTGCTTTCTCTATTTGGCACTCGCCCGACATAGCTTGTTGGGCATCCAGGCAGCCGTTGTTGAGAATGCGGCAGCGACGCACAACGCGTTGGAAGATGGGCTTCTTAACGAGCATGTACTTCTTGGCCCGGATCTGACTAGGCGCGGGTGGAGGCTGAATGATGATTGGAGGGATGGGGCCGGGTTGTGGAGCGACAGGTGTAGGCAAAGCAGTTATGGTAGTTGTTTTGGGTTGGGGCGTGATGGTGGTCAGTTGGACTTTGGTTTTGGTCCGGCGGATAATGATGGTTTTGGGCACTGTTTTAGTGAGTGTAGTTTGTTTGTCTAAAGTGATAGTTTTTGAAAGATAGATAGTGCTGAACTTAGTTCGTTCAACATGGTCGCTGATAGTTTCAGTAATAGTAGCTGTTTTTGTAAGGGTGGTTATTTCCGTGGTAGTTTTAAGGCGAGTAGTAGTAATGGTTTCGGTAATGTAGTTATCAACCGTATTAACAACATATTGCGTGCGTGTTGTAGTTGAGAAAGTAGGAATAGTTATACTAGTTGTCTTAGTAATAGTTGAGTAGGGAATTGTAATCACATTACCCTTAGCATGACCAATCAAATTGGACATGTCGTTCATCGCATGGGCGGCAAAGTTCTGGGCCGACCCCAGGTGCGAACTACTGCCATCCCCTTGGCTAAGTAGTTCGGCCCGTGGTGGCACAACTACATGTGGCGGCGGTCCCACTGGAGTAGTTGCATTCCCAGACTGCCCGAAAGTCCCCAAAGACGGCTGACCCAGTGCATAAACGTGTTCAATCAATGCTTGCCAAGCATGGGAATCCGAACTCTTCTCATACTTAGCCGGCGGCACAATGGTATGTTCCGGCACCAGAGACTGAGTCCTAGTTATTTCCACTGTTTTTGTCCGTTTAACTGTCTTCGTAATTGTTTGAGCCGGCTCTTCCTCCTCCACTATATCTGGAGTCGGCATTGTATAAACCACATGGGGAGCCGGCGGTTGTTCCGGGAGTACTTCACATCCACAATTAGCCAGTCCCAAGCAAACACACTCACCCGGCGGCTGTGCGCCTTTCACAATACTTATAATCCGCCCAGCACCCGTCCGCAGCAAAGCTATCTTGCACGGTCCAAACGAGCACTGTGGATCTTTATGCACCGGTAGATTAAAGCTCGAAACATAAGAGTTGTACATCTTTAGCGGCCGGTAAATCGAGTTTAAACAATCCTGGTAAGATATGCCATACATTTGACATTTCAACGGACTCTCCGGATTGTACATAAAGCCCGCCACAAGCCCGGCATGATAAACTAATGCTCTCCAGAGCATCCACTTCCCTCGCATACCTAAAACACCTTTAATTTGGTTATTAACCCATTATGAAGTTGTTTCACCTTTTATTGGAACAAATCAAAACAACCACCTCCACTTAATACCAACCCAATTACCATTGGTTTTACTTAACCCAATTCAAGCTAAGATTAAGTTAGTATTGTGTTAGATTGGGTTGGGATTGGGTTGGGATTGGATTAGTATTGTGTTGGTATTAAGTTAGCATTAGCTTTACCGCTACTACTCAACTCAATGTCATACATAACACCATACAATACTGAGTTAAACTTAAATTGGATTAAGTAAACCCAAATTACCCCACTATTTCATTTAACACTCACTATTACGCAACTAAGCTTGATACTTTATTAAACCACACTAAACTCAATCTAAACTAAACTAAACTCAATCTAAACTCAACTAGATACTTTACTAAACATACTAAACTCAACTAAACATTACGCAACTTAATCTAATCTAAATCAAACTAAACACACAACTTAATCTAAACTCAACTCAACTTAATCTAAATATAAACTAATTTGGTATTTCAGCTACTTCATTAAAAAGCATATCTAAAGCATAACTATCTATACGCGCTAAAGAAGGAATCAAAGATTTAGCATCTGTATGTCTTTCCGGCCCTAAATTAATCACAATACTAGCTTCATACTCAGTTAAACCACCTTCAACTAGTAATTTACGCGCTCTTTCAGCCCAGATTGCCGTTCCAGATACGGGAATACTCCTTAAATACTTCAAAGTACTTTGAAAAGCGCTATTTTCTTCCATGTCCCGTTCACCACGAATACGTTCCATTAGCCCATGGGCCTCAATCGCAGAAATAGACCGAGATTCACCATCAAATCTGGGGATGATTTTCATGGGACAAAACTTTCATTTCTTTTTCAGATTCCGATTACCATGAATACGAATAGCATAACAGTTAGTCAATGTTTTGAAATGTATGGAACAGACTTTGAACAAACAAAACAGATTTTAAGGATAGAAGGTTTTGAGACTCATTCAGTTGTGCAAATGTACAAAGATCTTCTTATTAGAACAACCAAATCTTACTTTCAGCGATACCAAAATAGCTTTAGATCAAGACTGCGTTGTACGTGTTATATTGCGCCTGGCCAAATAAGAAGGGCTCAAAGTATTCTAAGAATTGACTTAAAGAGTACTCCTGAGCAGATAACATTCTTAGCCATGCATAAGGACTGTCAAGTACCAGAGACATTAGTTCTACAATGTCGGTGTCAAGGGGAGTATAGTCCGGGTATTCAGAATGAGATGACTTTAAAGAAGTTCATCTTTTTAGTGATTGATTATCGGTATAGAGAGATTGGGGTTAGATCTATCGCTGCTAGGCATGTAGATAGCAGTAGGATGGGGAAGATTCTAAGTAATGGTGGGAATGGGATAAATAAGGACTTTTATCAAAACTTAGATAAGAATAATGGGTTAGATAAAAACTTAGATAAGGGAATAGATAAGAATATTGGGTTAGATAAGAATAATGGGATGGTGGGAGAGAAGAGAGAAAGTGTGTGCTGTATGGAGTCCAGAAATACAATGGAGTCATGTTGTTGCATGAGACAGGAGATTAATATTTTGAATCAAACTGAAACTGAGCATGATGCATATGTAGGATTAAAGACATACTTAGATAGGCTCCTGTTTGCCCGTCATGAAGGCGCAAGGGAGGTGGGATGCCTAAAAGGGGAAAAACTAGACCAAAAGATAAACGAGATCTTCAACGATCTTCTAAAACAGTCGCGCCGAGCGCCAGCGGCAGTTGAATAAAGATGAAGAGCAGATGTGAGTTTTTTTATGGTATCAATGTGTGGCCGAGATGTTATTTATGTTGCGATTGAAGCGGGGACGTATAACGAGCGGATTAAGTGTCGGGTAGGCCGGTTAGAGGGTAAGGAGCCTAGTTTGGGCGGGAAGGCGCGTTTAGGAGTGCCAAGGATTCCCAGTATTGTGCATAGTGAGGCCTTTCAACCGGGTGAGCGTGGATTTTGGCTAGATATTCATGTATCTCAAGATGGTGAAGATAAGGATAGTAATGGTAGAGATAGTAATGGTAGAGATAGTAATGGTAAAGATAGTAGAGATGAGGATAGTAATGATAAAGATAGTAATGGTAAAGATAGTACAGATATCAAAAGTAATAATAGAGATAGTAAAGATATCACAAATACTAGTAGAGATAGTAAAGATAATAGTGGTAATGAGGGGGGAAGAAGAGAGGCCTATGGGATTTGGGGAGTGGAAGAGGAAGAAGGATGTTTGGCTGAATTGGTTTTGGAGTACTCATACTTTACACACACAGAACTGCTGAAACGGGCGGGTATTAAGGAAAGTGAGTATCAGTCAAGTTATAATCGAGTGGGAAGTATTATTCACTTGAATCTGAAAGAAGAGACTTTGCCACATAAAGGGATTATTTCAAAGGTGCTTTACGATAAGATTAAAGACTGTCGAACAGTAGTGCGGAAAGTAGCTAATATTTCGGGAGTCTTTCGTAATATTGAGATTGAACACTTGCAAGGGGTTGAGGATTATAAGACTGTGCATCGTGAAAATGGGTTACGGTTTAGTATTAGCTATGATAAGGTGTACTGGAACTCGAAATTACAAGTGGAAAGAGTGCGGTTGATGAAAGAGATAAAAGCAGGGGAGAGTATTTGTGATTTATTCTGTGGGGTGGGGCCTTTTGCTATTCTGGCATTAAGTCGTGGGGCACGTGTTTGGGCGAATGATCTGAATCCAGAGAGTGTGCGTAATTTCCAGGAAAGTGTTAAGCTTAACCGGAAAGTACTTGGAGTGGTGAGTGAAAAGGAAGCTTGGGATGCAGGATTAGAAGATAGAGTTAGATTGTTTAATTTGGATGCTGGTGAGTTTTTGCGGGTGGCTAGTGGTGAGATCGCACAGGGTGGTGATAGTTGGGGATACTTTGACCATTACATTTTGAACTTACCCGAACTGACTCTGCAGTACTTGCAAGGATTTGTGGAGTTGGAAAGGAAGTGTCCTAAACAGGAAAACCAGAATTCTTATCAAAAATCTTATGTGCACGCTTACTTCTTTGTCCGACCGGGCGAGCAGGCAGTTGATTTAGTTGAGCAGGCACTGGGCAGAAAAGTCGAAGGAAAGGCCCGGCTAGTACGTAAAGTTTCACCATCTAAGGCTATGTGGTTGGTTTCGTTTGTTATCGGACTACCAAAATAAAGATTATTGATAAGAGTTGAAATTAAGCTCGGATTGAGTTTGTATTGAGTTGGGTTGAGCTGGTTTGGTTTGGGTTGGGTTCAATGTACTGAATAAAGACAACTAATAGTAGTGTCTCTTCTGTTGAGTTAGTATTGGGCCATATTCTATCCTAATATAGTGGCCGCGTTATTACTACAGACGTACTACTTAGGCTTACTTGACTAGTTAGATCTCGCTGCTTCATGTAGACTTGGTTGACTAAGAGACAGGCAGTTAAGTCATTGGTAGAGCAGTGATTAACTGTCCATGTGCTTTTAATAGTCTTAATACGAGAGTTGTTGATTTAGATAAACGTAGTGATTGGGCCCATCTCTAGTAGCACGCGACTGATTTATAGATGTTAATGAAGTCTTGTTGGGAAGATTAGACTGAAGATACTTTGCCAAGAAAGTAGTAAAGCTAGTTAAGACTAAGTTAGTGTTCAGAGTCAAGTATTAGCTAAGATGTGTCGTGAAAAGGAATGTATTAAAGTGTGTTGCTATTTCTATCAACACCAACTCAATAAGCACTAGTTAATTCACTTACATAGTAGATATAATTTATTGGTGTTAATGAACATCTCATTAAAGTACATGGTTTCTTAGTTATAGACTAGATATTTTACTACACAGAGATAAGCTCTTATAAGCTCTTGATATCCTTTGTTGGATATGTTAACAGTCTGGGCGCGCCAATTCGTTTGCTATCTAGCAATGATTGTTATTAATGGTATTGAGTAAACCAAATCAAAAAGAAGATGATAACAAGCATAAAAGTTTAGCCGCTCAAAGTCAATCATTTCCCAAAAAGGAAATGATTATTTGAGCATGGTTATATACTTTCATTTGCAAGCTTCTAACAATGAATATGAAATCCACTACTACTAGTTGCGTGAAAGTTTCTATCAAGCAGGAGGATAGTTCAAATAATAACGAAGATACTTTGAATAAATTGTCGGGGTTTAAAGCATATGCAGTAGCAATCTCTGCTATCTTAGGAGCAGGGGTTCTGTACATGCATGCCGGAATATTTACTGGTGGCATACTTGCCTGGGTTATAGGAGTTGGAGTTTGTGCATTAAGCTCGTTCTATATCTCACAAGCCGTTTATCGCAAGATGCGACATATTGAAGAAGAGAAAGCTAAATGGGAGAAGGAGAAAGAAGCCCTCCGGGTTCAAAACTACTTTGCTCTTAACAAAACTCTTGATACAACGGATGATAGCAATGAAAAAATGGCCGTGGATTATCCCGGTTTAATTGGAACCGGTTCGCCGGTCATTCAGAAGCTACTGAGCTTCTCTATTGGGTTCCAGGGAGCAGCCTCGCTTATTATCTATATGGGATTGTTGTTTATTTGGTCGGCTGACATTATTAAGTTTCTTACGCCGGCCGATTGGATAGATACAACTAAGCAAAATGTCATTATTTATGCAGTCTCAGGATTGATTGTACTAGTCTGTGGTAAACATGCAATAAAGCGGCCTGGAAAGGACAGTAAAGTCATTACGACTTTATCAGCTCTTTGCATTGCAGTTTTATTTGGGATAGTCTTATCTATGCTTTTGCTTATTATTTTCAATCCTAATACTGCTAGTAATACGCCTGAGACCTTTACTTCAGAGTCAGTAAAGGGTTTGGCTGCTGGAGTGCACTTCCCAAGCTTGAGTTTCATAAGTGGAACGGCCTCAATGTTGTTTGCCCTTTGCTCCCATCAAAACATTCCTATCTACCAATCTAAAATGCAAGCTAAACGTAAACGAACCTTAGTATCAGTGGCTTTTGGGGCTCTAGTGATTATGGGTCTCTTCTTTTTGGGAATTGGAGCTATTGGATACTTTGTGGTGTACAACCCGGTTAATGCCAGTAATCCGTCCTACTCACCTAAAGATATCTTAAGTGAACTCAGCCAAATACTCTCTGATCCTTCCGGTTCCAAAGTCAATAGCTCGTTACAATCTATCTTCAAATGGTTAATCGCTGGCATTAAACTATCTATGTTCCCGGTGCTAATCAATGCTTTCATGTGGCAGAGCATAACATATCGAACCGTGCTTTTGAGCGCATTAAAACGCCCGATCAAGAAGCATACTGGTCAAAGTGATAAAAGCTCTGGTGTAATAGTGACGGCTGGAATTATAATTACAGCAATTACATTCCTTGTGGTCTTATTGCCAATCAACCTAAATGACGTAATTGTCATTGTGGGTGGCGCAGCTACGTCATTTATCGTCCTATTCGTTCCAGCCTATCTTATTATAACTAAGAAAATCAAAAAGTCAGATAAGCTTGCTTGGTATGATTGGGTTGCAGCTGCTATTCTTTTATCGGCCTTTGTCGGTCTGTTTTCATACGTTGTTATATATGGAACAATCGAGAAAGTAGTTGCTGCTACTAATGTG